TTTACATATAAATACAATCTGTACAATGTATTAACTGAACAATCAATGAGCTTCCATCACAGAGGAGAGCTGATACTGGGACAGGCCGAGGCAGAATGAAATCACTGCCTCCTGAGCGGAAGACGTTTTAACCTGGAAAAGAAAAGAGAAAAGAGAAGGAAAGTTAGATATGACTTTAAAAATCCACACAGCGCCATGAGGGCAAGAAGGCCAGGCCTCCCCCACCCCTAGCCATCGTGGCATATTTGTACCCATAAAATACAGGAGACGGCCACGCACGATGAAGCATTGTTTAATCTGTATTTTCTTATCGATGTTTTTTTTCTTTTTTGGAGAGATTTTTTTCTATAGGGCATGCTCACCAGAAAGACAGAGAGACAGGAAGAGAGAAATCACCCCCCTAGGGGGGATGGCCACACTGCAATCCCTTCTCCTCCATTCTCCTCTCAGGATCTTGGGCACATATATGCACACGTGCCCGGTGTGAGTTTAAGCCACCGAATACAGGACTCAAACCGCAGTCAACTACATGGGAGTCCAGCGACATAGCCATTACACTAACTGCTGGTCCCTTGTTATCGATTTTTTTTTTTTTTTTGAGAGGTTTTCGCTACAGGGCGCGTGCGCTCGCCAGACAGACAGAGAAAGACATAGAGACAGAAAGCGAGAAATCACCCCCCAGAGAGGATGGTCACGCCGCGATCCCTTCTCCTCCATTCTCCTCTCGGGATCTTGGGCACGCACGCACACGTGCCTGGCGTGAGTTTTAAGCCACCGGGTCTGGGACGCAAACCGCGGTCGACTACATGGGAGTCCAGCGACATAGCCATTACGCTAACTGCTGGTTCCCGTTATCGATTTTTTTAAAGTTTCTTTCTTTCTTTCTTCCATGAATGAGACATACAGAGAGAGAGGGGCTGAGAGGCAGCACCCCCCAGCCTCCACCAGTCTCAGGTCATGGACATACGTGTTCCTGGTTTACTCCTGGCAGTCTCCAGACACAAGCCTGGAACCTTCCCATGTGGGTCAGCCTCATAGAGCATCACATTTTACCATTTGGCCCCTTAATTTTGTTTGTCTGTTACAGTTTGCTCTAGGGTGTGTGCATTTGCCAGAGAGAAACAGAGAGAGAAAGTGAGAAATCACCTCCTGGGGGGGAGGACCATGCCACAATCCCTTCTCCTCCATTCTCTGGGGATTCAAGACATGCATGTACACATGTCGGACATGATTCTCAAGCCACTGGTCCGGGACTCGAACCGCACAGTCAGCCACGTGATATCCAGCCATCTCAACCTCCATGCTACCTGCTGGCCCTATATATATATATATATATATATTTATTTATTTATTTATTTATTTTTTAATTTGCCAGAAGGCACATGCATTTACCAGAGAGACACAGAGAGGGGGAGAGAGGGAGCGGGAGATAGCATCTCTGGACGGGGTGTGGTCGTGTCATGATCCCTTCTCTGTTTCTCCATCCTGTTGGGGTTTTTAGGCACACACGTACACACCCAGAGTGTATTTTCCGAACCACCAGGGCCATGACTGGAACTGCATGGACAGCCAGGTGAGATCCAGCTCCCTTTACCTCTAGGCCTCAGGCCAGCTCCTAATCTATGTTCTTTTTTTTTTTTTAGAGAGATTTTCGCTATAGGGTGCGTGCACTCGCCAGACAGACAGAGACATAGAGACAGAAAGCGAGAAATCACCCCCCAGGGGGGATGGTCACGCCACAATCCCTTCTCCTCCATTCTCCTCTCGGAATCTTGGGCACACACGCACACGCGCCCGGTGTGAGATTTAAGCCACGGGGTCCAGGACGCAAACCACGGTTGACTATGTGGGAGTCCAGCGACATAGCCATTACGCTAACTGCTGGTTACCTAAAAGCAACTTCTAATCCTGGTCTCGCTCACCTATCAATCGTGGGGCCTCTGGGAAGCTACTAAAAATTTTTGCCTCGGTGCCAACAGCTCCCAAGTTGCTGGTCTTAATCTCAATTTCATACATTGAGGAAGTTCATCTGGCTGTACTCAGAGTAGGGCTGGGTCACACTGACACAGGTCTTCTCTCTACAGGCCCAACGTCGAAAACCAAACGTCTACAAAAGAGGATGCTCTGTGTGCATTCACATAGGAATCCCCCAGGCAGGGAGAACCAGCGGCTACTGCTGTCTACGGTAACATGGGGGAACTCGGAAGCCAGATGCAGAAGTTCAGACCGCGAGATTCTTTTTTTTTTTGGAGGTGGGTAGACTTTGTTATAGGGCACACGCACTCGCCGGAGAGACAGGCAGAAAGCAAGAATCAACCCCCCAAGGGGGATAGCGATGCCCCAATCCCTTCTCCATTCTCCTCTGGAATCCTGGGCACACATGCACACGCACCTGGAGTGAGTTACTATTGGCCGGGTCCTGGACTCAAACCATGGCTGGCCACGTGGGAATCCAGCATCTTGACCCTATGTCCCCTGCTGGCCCCCAACTGGCCCCCAGCATGCTTCTGTGAAATAAAGTTTAAAGCTGGCTGGAGTAAGCACTGGTGAGGCTCAGAGTGTTTACCTCTGGGGAAGAGAGTGGGGAAATCTGGGTGCTTTCTCCATGGGTATATTCAGGTGGTAAAAGGTGTTGGGGATGTGAATTTAGGATCTCTGCACATTCCCGTAAATGAGCGCAATAAAAAGTGCTACCCGGCTGGGTGATTCCGTGTCTGTGATGTTCCAGAATGGGCAAAGCTAACTTACGGGGAGTGGCAAGAAGCAGATCAGTGTCTCTCATGGAGGGGGTGCCAGAGGCAGACTACAGTTCCAGCTGGGACTGGAGGAGGAAGTAGCCGGGGTCCGGTCCAGTGGGAAACCTCATGCCACATGGGGGTGTGGGGATGCACATAAGACCACGTGGCTGTGGCCCTCCACACCCTTCCAGAAGACAGACACACCAGCCAATGCAGAGTGTGGGGCGAGGCACCGTTGGCTCATGGGGTCCTCTCCAGGTTCCTGGGGGAGAGCCTAGGAGGCCTGGAGGTGGAGGGTCTGTGGGAACTATACTTTGAGCAACCAAAGATTAATAATGACATACACTCCACAGCTCTGTTCCTCCCTCCCCCCAACCCAGGCCTTTCCTCAGCGGTGAGAGTCTTCATGTGGGGAGAGCCCCTCTGCCTTCCTCCTGTGCAGCAAGTGCATGTGGGGAAATCCAAAGGCCTAGGACGGCTTTTTGACATCAAAATACCGACTGTCTACACTCATGTGTGGATCGGGGTCTCTTAGGAGTGAGATCTACATGCCCATCAGCAGACAGCTGCCTGCCCACGTTTTCCAACTACCTCCCATGCTCAAAGAACCCCCTAGCTCCAGCCCGTCCCACAGCTCCTGATGGACACTGAGGGGTTTCCATGTGTGGCCGGACATGCAAGTGCAAGGTGTTCCCATAGGAAAGATTCATATGAGGGCCAGAGCCGGTGAGGGGATGAGATTACATGGGCTTGGGTGAGCGACTCCAGCCCCTGTGCCTGCCTTTCCCATCTGTGAGAGGGGTGATATGGGTAGCAACCTCACAGGGTGGCACGAGGAAGAAATGAGCCGACCCCCGCACCATACACCCACAGTATCTCCCACCCCGTCACTGCTCACATGCACCAGAAGGGAAGGGAAACATGAATCGGCACAGCCACTGGCGGGGATCTGGATCAAATTTAAATGCTCTTCTCCCTTGTATTTCTGAACTGTAACGAAGTACCATACATTCTAAAGAAACATAAAAAAGAAAAAGGAAGGACCAGTAGTTGGCATAATGGCTATGTCGATGGACTCCCATGTAGTTGATCGCGGTTCGAGTCCCAGACCCGGTGGCTTAAACTCACATCAGGCACATGCACGTGCATGCGTGTCCAAGATCCTGAGAGGAGAATGGAGGAGAATGGGTTGCGGCGTGGCCATCCCCTCTGGGGGGTGATTTCTCACTTTCTGTCTCTCTGTCTTTCTCTGTCTGTCTGGCGAGTGCACGCGCCCTATAGCAAAAACCTCTCCAAAAAGAAAAAGAAAAAGGAGTAGGGCCAGCAGGTGGTTTGATGACTAAGGTGCTGAATTCCTACATGCTTGAACAGTTCAAGTCCTGGACCAGGCTGCTTAAAAAATCACAACAAATAAACACGTAAATAAAAAAAATAAATGTTAAATAATTTTTTAAAAGAAAAAGGAGGTGGCATTTGTCTTTCTAGATAACAAAATTAACTAGAAGGCCGTACTATTTAAAACGAGTAGGCCAAAAACATTAAAATGGCCCAATTTAAGAAATCAGAATAGAGGAAGAGCCTGATGTGGGCACAGGGATTTAGAACACGACCAGGTTACACTCCCTGAGTGAGAAGGCAGGACTGAGGCAGCCAGGGTTCCTCCTGCTGTTCCCCCTTCAGACTGGACCCCCCTCCTGGGCAGACCCTTCCCAGTCCTGGAGCGCCAGGAGGGGGCCAAGCAGCTGGGTCTGGCCCACAACCGTGTGCGAAGTGAAGACTGATTGCTAGTCAGATCTAACAGCCTTCAGCGCCTCCTCCAACCTGTCCCCTCCTGCGAAGACCCACCTGCTGAAGGGGGTGCAGGCTGAGACCTGGGCAACCTTGTCACTTACATGCATCCCTCATTGTGCTAAGCCACTGGAGCTTTTTTCAACTGCAGCTAGCTCACTCATCTAATACAACTGGCTATCCAACTGGAGAAAAATAACTAAGATGCCTACCCTATCCTGTTCACACACACACACACACACACATACACACACAAAGATAAAAACAAAACCATAGAAGCAATAAGGTATTTGTGTGTGTGTGTACTTTTTTGGGTGGTGGGTTAATGAAGGTCCCTTAAAGATAAAATTGTAAAGCATACACACAAACAAACAAAATAAAAATCTGTGGAGTTAGTCAGTGGCATGGTGGTTAGTGCAGCTGGATCCCACATGGCCAACTGCACCAGTCCTGGACCCAGCGGCTTAAGCACGCTGGGGACGTGTGTGTGTGTGTGTGTGTGTGTGTGCCCAAAATCCC